TACTGCTGAGCTCATTTTTAAACGTTTATATTAGGGGGGCTTGCGGGGAGGAGAAATAATTGTGTAATGTCTTCGGAGCAAGGGAGCATTCCAAAAGCATGACTGCGCGGCCCTTTCCAGCACTAACAATCTGGCAGCCAAGCCTTCCCCGCGGCCGCCAACTCCCTCCATCCCGCCTCAGCCCCTCGACACCCCCAGGAGAACAGCAGCGTGGTCTCGGGGTGCTCCGCTGGGAGCGGGGGCCCGGCTGAGACCCCCGGCTGGGCAGCAGCACTGACACATCCCAGCACCGTGTTCGGGTGTGAAACCGGAGACAGGCAGGCAGTGGCTTTGGCCGTCTGTGTTTCACCAAGACTCGTTGCATTTTATTTTCATTTTGCCAAGCGCCACTTGGTGTCCAGACAGTTTCAGCAGATGTTCAGCTCCTCCTTCTCGGCTACAGTTAGTACAGGTAGAGACTGTGTGAGATTTTACGGACTTTAAACTGAATCCATGCTCCTGACAGCTACAGCTTCTCCAGAGAAACGTTTTTCTAAGTGGAAAATAAGCCAAGTCACTGTCTTCCAACAGGTTATCGGAGCGTTTAACCAGGCTCACCTCCTAACTTGCTGTTTGCGCTGGAGAGGCGTATTGACATGAAAAGTAAGGAATGTATTAGCAAATATTGATTGGCCCCGGGGCAGCAGCAGTCAGGCGCAGCACACATACAGGCATCTGCTGAGATCGGGGCATGTTATTTGGAGCTTTCAGCGAGACACTTGTACTACGTGACTCTGGGAAGGCTCTCGCTTCCGTGGGAGGTAAAATAAGAACATGGCATGATGTCCTTTGGAAGAGGAGGTAAGGGCAGGCAGCATTTTGCTGCAAAGCTCAAGCACTTGTGGTTCCAGCTTTGTTTAGGCTATAAAATTCTTGTGTTCCAAGTCCCTTTCTCTGTTTGGCTTGTGGATGTTTTTGTGGGATTTAGCAATGAAAACAAGCCAGCCTGGCTGCTCTGCTCCAATCTGGGTCTGGGTAAGCCCAGGGGTCTGGTTGTGTCCGGAGAACAGCTCACAATTTTAGAAAACGGGCCGGGGAGCTCTGCGCAGCGGAGGTGGCGGTGCTGGTGGGTGTGGGTCGTGCTCTGGGTGTCCGATGGTTGCTGGCGTGAGCGAGGGCTGGAGACTGGTCCCCTCTGTGCTGCACAGAAACGCACAGCGTGGCCTGCCCGGGGCTGCGCGAGGGTGGAACTGCAGATGCTGCTGTGCCAGACCAGCACCACTTTGGTCGGCTGGAAGCTGCAATCTGCCCGGGAGCTGGGAGCCCGAGTCCTGCCCTGGCTGTTGCGCATCCCTTTGACCCTGCTCTTTGCTTCAGGCCCCTTTTGGAACTTCCTTCTGCATAAGAGTCCCTCTGATCCCCGAGACACTGGCCAGGGCACTTGTCCTGTGCTACCCTG